CTTAATTTAGAGCTGGCATGATGGCACACTCCTGTAATGCCAGTACTAAGGAGGCTGAGGCAGGAGGGGCTACATAGCCAGACCTTCTCTCAAAAAAAGAAATAGCTGGGCTAGGGTTTAGCTCAGTGGTGCCACCACCTGCCTCACAAGCACGAGGTCCCTAGTTCAATCCCTGGTACCAAAAAAACAAAAGAAAAAAAGAAATAGCTGAAATACTAACTCAGTGTACAATGTGTTTGCCTAGTTTTCTTTCTTGGTAAAGCTATGCAGTAAGCCCTTAGCTTTTATTTTGTAATTTTGAGTGTCTCTGGTAGAGGAGGCTGGCCCCAAAAGAAATATTTTGACAGATTCTGACAAAATTTAGGGTTCCTCCTCTCCTAAGGATGAAGGCATAAAATGAGGCTCTGAACCAAATTAAGGAAATTTGGTTATCATTAATGCCTAAACATTTGTTTTATATTTGCAGATGTAGCTTACGCAAATTTCCCATGACTTCAAGAGGCTCTGTCAGTGTATTTTATGTAAATAATCCCCTCTCCCTGTTTTAGAGCTGAGTATTTATAGAACTGAGGGGTGGGAGAGGATCCAATATCTAGATTTCTGTAGGATTTGTGGTTTAGAGTGAGTTAGGCCAGAATTGTTAATGATTTTGTTAGAGATTCACATGTATGTTAGAGCCACTATGTTGAATTTTGGAACAACTTGTAATTTTTTTCTTTACTTTAAAAATAAGCATAATGCAATGTAATTTTAATATGCTTTTTAAAAATTTATTATTATTATTATTGTTATTGTTACTATTATTTTGGTACTGGGGATTGAACTCAGGTCCTTGCACTTGAGAGGCAGGCAGCGGCACCACTGAGCTAAATCTCTGGCCCTAATATGCTTTTTTAAAAACAGGAATGTGCCACCATGCCAGATTTATACTTTTTTAAGCAAAGTTTTTTGTTTTGTTTTTTTTTTTAACTGTGAGATCCTCCTTTAGGAGAGCTGAGTTACTTAATGGTTTCAAATACTTGAAGATCTGTTAAGAGACAGCTGTTCTTGTGACTGAAAATACTTTTGGTATGAGAGCTGCTATTTTTGAGTTATGAATGCAATTTAATAGTGTTAAACTGAGTTTGCATAGTGGCTTTTGACCTTTTTTTTTTTTTTTTTTTTGGTACCAGGGATTGAACTTGGGTCCTTGCACTTGCAAAGCAGGCACACCAGAACCACTGAGCTAAATCCCTGGCCCCTGACTGTTTGCTTGCTTTTGGTACTGGGGATCGAACTCAGTTCCTTGAGCTTGCAAAGCAGGTGGCGGAACCACTGAGCTAAATCCCTGGCCCACATATTGGCTTTTGAAAATACAGGTATCTTGTTAGTTTCTGAACGTGACCAATTGAAGTTAAGCTTGAAACCTGGTAAATTTATTCTATCTGGTAAAACTTTTGTAAACATTTTGTCTTGTTTATACATTAGTTATTGTCCATTTGGAACAACCCTAGACCTAACTGTTACACTTTTTTATTCTTTTTTTTTTTAGCAAAACATTTATTGGTACATTTTAGATATACGTACATTCATCATAGGGAATTTGTACCCGTAAATGATATATCTTGCTTCTTCTTTTAATTTCTCAATTCTAAAACCTATTTTTCCCTCAATTTTTAACATTTCTAAAATGTCATATACATTATCATAGACATTAAATACATACTTTCTTACATTTGTTTTCTTCATAATGCTATTAAAATTTCAGTGAGCTTTTGCTTTCTAAAATTGAGTAGTTAAACATATCACTTAAATTTTGGAAAAGGTAGTAATTTAAAACGATTGGTTTTAGCCAGGTGAGGCTGAGTGAGGCAGGATTGCCGAGAGTTCAGAGCCATCCTGGGCTGCATAGTGAGTTCAGGGACAGCCTGAACTACATAGTGAGACCCTGTCTCAAACAACGAAAACAAAAAAGCCAGCCCATAAGCTAGTCCTAGGTGAAATTACTTATTTGACATCTTGCCCACCCACAAAGGCTTTGATGGTTTGGGTTTTTCCATCAACATTCGAAGGAGAATCCATGATGAATGTAATCATTATGTCCTGCAGCTCTACTAATAAAAAAAATAATAAAAATTTAAAGAAAGTCCCAGAAAGGCAGTCAGTACCTCTGGGAAATGTCAAAGGGCAAACTGGGAAAGAGTTTCTGCTGCTGACCTCTCCTACAGTTTCCACGCAGAGGAGTCTGGTTACATTCGCATTGCCCCTTTCTGACTAACAGTCCTCTGGGTATTTGAGGCTCGCTCTCCTTTTGATTTGTGAAATTGGAAGCAATAGATACTTCTCTGTTGCTGTTGTAAGTACTGGAAAGGTTGGCTTTACAGGTTGCTTCAGTATTGTTGCAAGTTCTGTCTAGGGATGTCATTAGGGGTGTTAATGGATGCTTTAAACAACGACTTTCCAGGTCCTGAATTCTGCCATCCTGTAAGTTTGCTCTCTAGAGGGTGCATTCATCATGGTTTAGGAAGGCTGTACTTCACTTTGCAACAGCCTGCAATAATTGCACCATCTAGATCAAGAGAGCCCAGGTCTGGGGATGACTTAGAGCAGCCGCTTTTGTGGGTTCTTTAGCCTTTCAGCTGGATCCATCCTTAGGAACAGAAATAACAAAAGAAGTAAGGTGAGTAGGATAGTGGTAAGAGAAAGGAGGTGGGAGAAATCCAGCCATTGAGGGAGGAGTGCCTCAAGAAAACAGTGGTAGTGATGCTTACGAATTCTGAGTGGACTCTTTCCACTGCTCCAAGGTTCCTCAGGAAACTGATTTCATGATTTTATAATTTATTGCTTAGATTAAGCATGCTGAGTGAACATTGGGCTGTGTGCCGATTAGAATGGGCATTAAAGCCTTTCATTTTTATCTTTTTGGTTGTTGTGTGTGTGTGTGTTTTGTTTTGTTTTGTTTTGTTTTTGGTACTGGGATTGAACTCAGGACCTTGCGCTTGCCAGGCAGGTGCCAGCACCACTGAGCTAAAAATCCCTGGTCTTGTTTCTGTTTTCTGAGACCCTGTCTAACTGTGTAGTTGAAGCTGGCCTTGCCTGGAACTCATGGTAATCCTCTTGCCTCATCCTCCCAAGTGCTATAATTACAGATGTGTGCCCCCATGCACAGCCAGTCTATCTTTTGTGTTTGAATCCTATTCTTCTTCTCCCCGCTTTTTTTATTAGATTTGAAATAGATGGACATCATGGGTCTAATAATTTGGGGATTTATATTTAGGAAAGATGAGAGCTCTTGATCCAATTATTTAGTATTTCATGCAAGGTGGGAAAGGGAGCAAAACTTAAATGCATGATTGAATGGTATTGATGTAATATAACTGAGGTATGGTTCACTTGAAATGCCCTTAAGAGCTTTGGGATTTAGCTCAGTGCTGCTGCCACCTGCCTCACAAGTGCAAAGTCCCGAGTTTGATCCCCAGTACCAAAAACAAAAATGTCCTTCCTAGCCAGGCATGCTAGCGTTTGAGGCTGATGCAGGAGGATGGCCATGAGTTCGAGGCCATCCTGAATTAAGAGTTCTCACTCTGTCTTAAAAAAAAAAAAAAAAACAAGAAGCAAAGTCCTTTCCTGACAAGTTTTTAAAGTATAGGTAGGTAGATACATAAGTAAATATGAATGATAAAGCAAATATGGTAAAATAGTACATTTAGTACATCTTGGTGAAGAATATAGAAGAAAACTTGAACTGTTCCAATGTTAAACAAAATTAGAAAAATCCTTTTTGCCTAAATTTCTCTTCATAGGGGTATAGAATTTTCTTCTTTTTAAGATTATGAAATCCAGCCAAATGTGGTGGCACACACCTGTGTAATCCCAGCACTCAGAAGGCTGAGTGGGAGGATCACCATGAGTTTGATGCCAGCCTGGCTACATAGTAAATTGAAGGCCAGCCTGAACAGCATTGTGAAACCCTGTCTCAAAGAAAAAAAATTGTGAATTCCTTTTAATTTAGTTTTAAAATGTATTAAGTGGAGAATTCCTACATGTGCATATTTAAAATGCCAGTCCTAGTATAGCTTTATTTATGTACTTTTTTTTTTTTTGGTACCTAGGATTGAACTCAGGGCCTTGCACTTGTGAGGCAGGCGTAGTGCCACTGAGCTAAAATCCCTGGCCTTGTTACTTTTTTTTTAGGGTCTTGCTATATAGTACAGGCTGGCCTTGAAGTCACTATGTAGCCCAGGCTGGTCTCAAACTCACAGTTATCCTCAGCCTCCTGAGTGCTGGGATTATAGAGGTATGCCACAGTGCTGGGGTACTGTAGCATTTTAAAATAATGGCATGAAACTGCTTTATGAGTCCCTTTAACTAGATTGCTAACTGAGAGTTTATTTCTCTTACTATCTTTTTTTTTTTTGTACTGGGAATTGATCTTGGGACCTTGTGTTTGAGAAGTAGGCACCACTAAGCTAAATCCCCAGCCTCTCTCACTATCTTTTAAAGGGCAATTTACCTTCTGAAAGAATTGAGTGGAAACAAGAGCTTTTTCCTTTGTCAACTTTAAAATAATTCACAGTGGTTGTAAATGTATTCTAGGACATACATAAAAATGAAAATTGTTGTTAAGGCAGTGGGATTTTAGATAACTTTTTTTTTTTTTTTGGTTCTGGGCATTGAACTTGGGCCTTTGTGCTTGTGAGGCAGGTGGTAGAACCACTGAGCTGATAACTTTTTGTTTGTTTGTTTGTTTGTTTGTTTTTGAGACAGGGTCTCACTATGTAGTTGAGACTGACCTGGAACTCACTATGTAGCCCAGGCTGGTCTCAAACTCAGCGATCCTCCTGCCTCAGCCTCCCGAGTGCTGGGATTACAGGCGTGCACCACCGTGTCCGGCTTCTGAGCAGATAACTTTTTTATTTTTCCAAATTTATATGTTGCTATTTTTAATAAGAAAGTTGGTTGTACTGTTTCTTGTGTTATAGTGTCTTCATAGTAACTTTTCTTTATTCTTGATTTTACAGAGCAGAGGCTCTGTCCCACAGACTCTGGAACCATGAACATATTTGATCGGAAGATCAATTTTGATGCACTTCTAAAGTTTTCTCATATGTAAGTGTTTTAAATTTGACTGGTTTCTGACTGCATTTTCTGTCATTTCTGGTTTCTTTTCATTTATTAATATGTACATATATAAATTAACAAATGACTTGGCTGGACTCCAGAGGATCTGATAAAAAGTCATAAGTTCTTTTGCTGTTTTCTGGGTATTGGAAGATCAATTTTGATGCACTTCTAAAGTTTTCTCATATGTAAGTGTTTTAAATTTGACTGGTTTCTGACTGCATTTTCTGTCATTTCTGGTTTCTTTTCATTTATTAATATGTACATATATAAATTAACAAATGACTTGGCTGGACTCCAGAGGATCTGATAAAAAGTCATAAGTTCTTTTGCTGTTTTCTGGGTATTATTCTTTTCTTTGTGTTTTTTTTTTGTTTTGTTTTGTTTTTTTAATGGAGTGTGCTGGATGTCTATAATTTTGTTCAGATGACTGCAGAACCTGGAAAAGCTGTTGCTGCTATTGATGCATAACATACTGCTATTATTGGTCTTCATATATATATATATAATTTGAATTTTTGGAAACTTTAACTGTGCTGTCAACTTTGGAAAAAGTTATCCCAATTTACTGTGTTGAGTTGGCATTGTACAGAAATTCACAGCCATATTGGTTTAGAAATGTTAATTTTTTTTTCCATTTGTACAGGGGTAACGCACTGTATTAAATATGTAAGGTCTTATCTATGTGGGTTTGATTTCAGAAACTATTCTCTAAATAAAAAAAAAAATTCGTAAGTTCTAAGGGCTGCTGTGTGATCAAAAGTTATTTATGGGCTGGGGATTTAGATTGGTGGTACCATAGTGCCTGCCCCACAAGCACAAGGTCCTGAGTTTGATCCCCAGTACCAAACAAAAAAGTCATTTATTCTTGTTTGAGTACTGATTGTTCATAAATTTGGGCTTTGGCCCTTTCCTAGCATTTAAGATTCTCTTAGACTGTTTTCAAAACATTCTTTTTTATTATACTCTTCTTAAAATATCTCAGAACTATTTGTAATATAAATTTCACATTATTCCGCCTAAGAAAGCGAAATAGTTTTTAGTTTAGAGATGAGATTGGTGCAGGAGTGACAGGCATTGTAAATATTCTTTCCTAGAACCCCCTCAACACAGCAGCACCTGAAGAAGGTCTATGCCAGTTTTGCCTTGTGTATGTTCCTGGCAGCTGCAGGAGCCTATGTCCATGTGGTCACTCATTTCATTCAGGTAAGAATGGGTTCCTCTCTGTTTGCTGTGCTGCATGGTACAAAGGAGCTCAGTAGAGTGGTCCAGTCCTATAACCTTTCTTAATCCTTATCAGTAGTTTGAGATGTGAACTCAGCTGACCATTAAATCAAAACAGGAAAAGTCATTTACATTTTCTGGCAGCTGTGACCCTTTAGGTATAGAAAACAGTGTTTTAACCTTGACACTAAATAGCCTGCTGCTGACATACAAGATACCTCCTGCTAGGGAAGCATCAAATGCTTGAGTGAGGAGATTCTTCTACCTGGCCTTGACTCTGTAGTCCTCCCTTTGTTGCTTAAATGACTGTGGAGTAGTTGGATGCAAAATACCTATTGTATGGTTATCAGAAGAAGCAGAATTGAAACCTTAATGTATTCATTACTCTATGCAAAAACCTGTTTTCCTATGTTGAGGGAGTGTTTGGAGTTGCCCAGCAGAATAGAAGGCATGGCCTCCCGAGTGCTGGGATTACGGGTGTGCCACCATGCCCAGGACAGTGTTTCCTTTGATTTTATAATTCTAGACAAGCTTGGCTCTTTTGGTTTCTGGTTGTGAGCTTTGATTTTTAAAGTAACGTAAAAATAGCTAATCTTCTGTATTCATCGTGCTGTGTTTGGAAACTCACCTACTTGCCAAAATTTGTAACTCCCAAATCAGTACTTGTAGAATTTTTTGCAGATATGCAGATGGTGAAAATTTTGATTTACCCTTAATGCCATGTTCCCAGTAGAGGGCAGGAAAGAACACTGTCTTCTTGTTTCAGTTCTTATAATCAAGTGTCCCTTTCAAAGGGTCACTGCCACCTATTAATGCTACCATTGTGTATTTGGGGTTGCGGTGGGGAGGGGGGTGTTATTATTTGGTGCTAAAGATTAGACTGAGGCCCTCACGTGTGGTTCCTATTGCTGAGCTACACCTTCAGCCAATTTTTTGGTGATTTTGCTGTTACAAATGAAAATAGCATAGTGCTGATGTGCTGTCTGGTGCTGTCTAAAATTGTGCTATGTCTAAGGGGAAAAAAAACTTAGGTTACTTTGTTCAGGCAGTAGATGTAGTACTGTTGGCTCTGAGTTCAACATTAATGAATCAACAATTTATGGTAAAGTATCCTTAAACAGAAACACATACTTTAAGGTTATATATTAATCATTTTTGCAAAAGTGTGACTAGAGGCTTTGAGGAATCTAATGTGTTTTTTTTTTTTTTTTTTTTGTGGTACCGGGATCAAACTCAGGTCCTTGAGCTTACAAGTAGGGGCAGGAACCACTGAGCTAAATCCCCGGCCCAGGAATCTAATCTTATATTTCCTTCAGTAGCAATGATTTGTACTCACCAATTCATTGTGCACTGTGACTATGTAATGTGACTGCGCCACAGGAATGCGGGATGTTGGGAAGTATTACAGTGGCCTGTTTAGCAAGCATGAGACCCTGGGTTCAATTTCTGGTACCAAAAAAGAAAAAGAACAAATATGAACTTCAGTGTCTGTATCTATCCTTGGTGCTTTTTTTTTTTTTTTTTTAATAATAGCTTTTCCCATATTTTATTTTTAAAATTACTAGTACATATTTGCAGTATAAAATGATTACATTCATTCATCATTGCAGAGCCTGGTATATGTATACAACATATGAATTTTTTACTTTCTCTTCCCAAATTTCTTTATTTAAAAAAATTTCGGAGCCGGGCGTGGTAGTGCACGCCTGTAATCCCTGCACTCGGGAACCTGAGGCAGGAGGATCACTGTTAAATTTGAGACCAGTCTGGGCTACATAGTGAGTTCCACGTCAGTCTCAGCTTATTTATTTACTTATTTATATAGGTTCCAGGGATGGAACTAAGGGCCTTGCACTTTTCTTTTTTTCTTTTTGGTTTTTTGAGACAGGGTCTCACTATGTAGTTGAGACTGACCTGGAACTCACTATGTAGCCCAGGCTGGTCTCGAACTCACAGTGGTCCTCCTGCCTCAGCCTCCCCAGTTCTGGGATTGCAGGCGTGCGCTGCACCTTGCACTTTTCGAGGCAGGCAGTGGCACAATCCCCAGCCTTTTTATTTTTTGAGACAGGGTCTCCCTATGTGGTCCAGACTAGCCTTGAACTCACTATGTAGCGAGGCTGGCCTGGAATTTGTGGTGATCCTTCTCCTTCAGCCTCAATAACAGGAATGTATTACCATGCCTGGCTGAAAAAAACATTTTTGTAGCTAGGCAGAGTAACTCACAACTATGTTCAATGAGCTGAGGCAGGAGGAATGCCGGAAATTTAAGGCCAGCTGAACTATACGTATCAAGACCCTGTTTCAAAAAACAAAAACAAAACAAAAAATGATGAATATAATTGTATTGTTTACCTTAAATGTACCAATAAACTTAATGAAAAAAATTTTTTCCTTATTGCAAAAGTTACAGTGTTTATTATGGAAAATTCAGAAACAGACTACTGATAAGAAAAAAGTATTAAAGAAAAAACGTGGTGGCTGGGCATGGTGGCGCATACCTGTAATCCCAGCACTGAGGCTGAGGCAGGAGGATCACTGTGAGTTCAGCCTGGACTACATAGTGAGTTCCAGGTCAGTCTGAACTACATAGTAAAAAAAACAAGAAAACATGCCCATGGGCCGGGCATGGTGGCACACGCCTATAATCGCAGCATGTGGGAGGCTGAGGCAGGAGGATTGCTATGTGTCTGAGGCCAGCACGAACTACTTAGCAAGACTTTGTCTCAACCAAAAAACAAAAAACCACACTATTGCCATCACCCAGGAGTAAATAGTAGTTTATCAGGTTTTTTCTTTCTTTCTTTTTTTTTTTTCTACCTTTTGTTCTATATGTATATATGTGTGCTTTATCTTTTTCTTTTTTTCCCTCTCAGTACTGGGTATTGAAACCAGGACCTTTGCACTGAGATACATTCTGTTCTTCTTTTTTTTTTTTAGGTAAGGTCTCACTAAGTTCCCTGGGCCAGGTTTAAATTTGTAATCCTTGTGCATCAGCCTCCCTAGTAGTTAGTGTTGCAGGCACGTGCCTCTGTGACCAGCACTTTTTTCTTTGGGTGATTTAAAAGAAGTCATTTCTACTACTGCAAATAGACAAGCACTTGTCAATTTGACTCATCTTCTGTGTCTTGGGCAAGACTCACTAGTTGTAGTTGACCTGAGTAGTTGTGCTGAGGTTGATGGACTGCCCAAACTGGAACAGCCTTCTGTCACCATGATCCTGACCCTGACCTTCAAAACTTATGGTTTCTCTCTGCACCCTTGAGAAAATACTGCCTTTTCCCCTGCTTCCAGGTTAAAAGCAAATAATTAGTAAATTCAAATGACTATTTGAACCTAGTAAGGTCTCCTGAAAAATAAATTTGAAATTTTCAGCTACTTAATTATTGATCTCTTTGACAGGCTGGCCTACTGTCTGCCTTGGGCTCCCTGGGATTGATGATTTGGCTAATGGCAACACCTCATAGCCGTGAGACTGAGCAGAAAAGATTGGGACTTCTTGCTGGATTTGCTTTCCTTACAGGTATGTTAAGGTATCAATCTAATTTTTTTTTTTTTTTTTTTTTTGTACCAAGGATCAAACTCAGGACCTTGCACATTCTTACCAGGCAGGCAGACATGGCACCAGTGAACTAAATCTTCCCCTTCTTGATGGGAGGTGGAAGACTATACTTTTAGTATCTGTTTAGGCAAAAGCCTGAGATTTGTGTTTATTCTGATTTTACCCCAACAGACATACTTTCTTGTGTGCCTGTTTCATTTGTATATTTCCTTCAGGGCTGGGGATTTAGTCCAGTGATTCCACCAAGCGCAAGGTCCTGAGTTTGATCCCCGGTACCCCCATCCAATGTGTAATTCCTTCAGAAGAGTTTTCCCTTTTGTTCTCTTTAGCTTTGTACTATCCAGTTATACTTAAGTTTGAGTACGTTTTACCTTATTTATTATTCTTGTTTACCATTTCTAGGTTAAGCTCTTTGTGATTTCTGTTTTTGTATCCAAAAATAGCCAGTGTGTGCTTAGGACTGAATGAGGCCTGGGAATCTGCTTAGTAGGCCCCACACTGACCGGTGTATGAGGAGTATCTGTTTTGTTAAAACCATACATTGAAATTCATTGCACTGGACAATATTCTCTTTGAAGGAATTTACAAGTGTCACTGTTCTAGATTTATCATTAAAGGAGAACAGGACTCAAGCTACCTAATAAAAATACTTGCAGGCTGGGGATTTAGCTCATTGGTGCCGCCAACTTGCCTTGTTAAGTGCAAGGTCTCCAGTTCAATCCCTGGTTACAAAAAAAAAAAAAAAATAACTCACAAAACAACATTTAAATTGGTACAGCTTGTTCTGAGTGACAGTCTGATCTATATAGTGTTGAGGAAATTTTAGGAAGGAAGGGACTTGGGAATTGAGATTTTTAGATTAGCTAGTTTTTGGAGGCATGAAAGAATGGAAATCAGGAGAGAAGAAGTGGGCAAAGTAGGAGAAATGTTGGGTCAGAGCAGGTTGCCCTCCTGTTGGCAGGTGTCCCTTTGCAGAACCTGTCTTTCAGAGGAAGTCCTGCCTTACTGCAGGGTTGCTGGCCTGGCAACTTTTACTCTAATTCCTGATCTGGCCCACGTTACAGTAACATATCATTCCAGCTCAAAAATATTTGATAGTCCTGCTTCATTTTTTTTTCTAATTTCTGTTTCTCTTGGTGTAATCCATGATATTGAGCCAAGGGCATTTTTGTAGCTATGTCTATAAATAACTTGGGTATAAATTCTCTGTCTATTTATTTTTTTGTGAGACAGGATCTTGGCATGTATTTGCTTTTTGTTTTTTTGTTTTTTTTTTTTTGGTACCGGGGATCGAACTCGGGTCCTTGCGCTTGCAAAGCAGGCACTGGAACCACTGAGCTAGATCCCCGGCCCAGGATCTTGGTATGTAGTTCGTTCAGATTGGCCTTGAACTCATCGCAGTCCTCCTGCCTCAGACTCAAATGCTGGGACTGCAGGCCTGTGCCACCATACCCAGCCCTTTTATTGAATAAGGAAGAAGGAGAGAGATCTAATTACTTTAATTTAAGTTAATGTATAAAACATTTTTAGAAGCACGAGTATACCTATGTTATTAATGATGAGCTTTTGGATGAGGCTCCTTTTGAAGAGTTGATGGTAATTTTGTGTTGTGGGGGTTTTGTTTTCTAGGAGTTGGCCTGGGCCCCGCTCTGGAGTTGTGCATTGCTATCAATCCAAGGTAACCGTTTTCAGTAGTAGTGTTTGTCTCTACCTTTATGAATATACCTTCTAAATAGTGGTCACATATCTGTAGTCCTCAAGTAGTCTTTCTCTTTTAACAGCATCCTTCCCACCGCTTTCATGGGCACAGCAATGATTTTCACCTGCTTCACCCTGAGTGCACTGTACGCCAGGCGCCGGAGCTACCTCTTTCTGGGAGGTAAGTGTGAACTGGAAACAGTCAGGTCTGCTCTAGCCAGAATTCTCACTCCTTCCTTACGTTAACTCCTGTATGACTGACGATTATGTTGATGGTAGAAAGCGTTCATTTTTAAGAAATAAATTTTACTTTACTTCCCCCAGTCTCTCCCCTCCCTATATACAAAAGCTTTGCTTCCTTTTTTTTTTCCTTTAGAAAGCCTTCATTGTGGGGCGAAGTAAGAAGTGGCCATAATAAGCTTGTCTTGTTTTTTTTTTTGGTACTGGGGATTGAACTCACAAGGCAGGTGGTGGAACCACTGGGCTAAATCCCTAGCCATAATGAGCTTGTCTTACGTTGCTTTGGCTACTCTCAAGGTAACTTCTTGCCATGTCTTAACAGGTATCTTGATGTCGGCCATGAGCCTGATGGTCTTGTCTTCCCTTGGGAACCTTTTCTTTGGATCTGTTTGGCTCTTCCAGGTGAGATTTTGCACAGACCTTTCCAGCAACTAGTTGCCTCATAGTGCTTTTTACTCACTCAGCCCTAAAGCAAGATAGGTTAAGACTCCTCCACGATGTTCACATTACCTCCTCACCCCTCTGGAGACAGCCACTGGTGCAGCTGGAAGTATAAAGTATAGCTGAGTGTGGTTAGACACTGTTTGTGTGTGTGTGTGTGTGGTAATAATAAAAATTTAATATTTTATCATTAGAGCTCTAGAAGGAGATAAAAGTGTGGGCTACAAAAAGATTTAGAGAAATGATGGTTCTAGAGCGCTCAGGTTTTCATATTTTATTTTTATTTGGTTAGGCACTGTTGAGGAGAGAACAATTTTCTCAGATCCTTTGCCAGTCCAGCTCCGACTCGTGAAAACAGAGGAGGGTCTTCCAGTGACCTAAAAGAGTGTGGTAGCGCACACCTCTAGTCCCAGCGCTTGGGAAACTGAGGCAGGAGGATTGCTGTGAGTTTGAGGCCAGCCTGGGCTACATAGTGAGTTCAAAGCCAGCCTGAACTACATATACATAGTAAGACCCTGTCTTAAAAAGGAACACGGTGTCTTGGGAAGTAACGTGGTCATCTTTATTGCCCACTGTGTGTACTTTCAAGTGGCCAAAAGCCAGAAAATATGTGGGTCTTTTTTCCGTATTACAACTCCTGTATGGTAACTTTTTCTCATTCCTCTTTTAGGCAAACCTATATATGGGACTGGTGGTAATGTGTGGTTTTGTCCTTTTTGATACTCAACTCATTATTGAGAAAGCTGAACATGGAGATAAGGATTATATCTGGTGAGTATGAGAACTGATATATACTGAGAAATGTTGAAGTGTACGGTTCTATTCCATGGCTGAACTTCTAAGGCCAGGCTCCACGAGTGGATGTGGTAGCATTTGAAACTATGATTCAATGGCATAGTCTCCCTCAATTCACAAAAGATAGCAGATTTTTTCAAAATGCATAATATATATTTATTTTCCATAGTTTTATTTTTATTTTTTTCATTCCTGCTGAGCTTTACCGCCTTCACCCCACCCCCAGTCCTGTATAGGTACAATAGTAGCTAGTTCTAGGAGGGATTGTTGCAAAAGAGTCTTTTTGTGTGTGGGGGTGGGGTTTTTTTTTTTTGTTTGTTTGTTTGTTTTGGGGGGTTTTTTGAGACAGGGTCTCGTTTTATGTTTCAGGCTGGCTTTGTAGCCTAGGCTGGCCTTGAACTCCCTTGCAGCAGTCCCTCAAGTGCTGGTATTACAGGTGTACATCACCATGCCTGGCTCAAAGGAGTCTTTCTCCTTTTTTTTCTTTTTTCTTTTGGTATTGAGGATCAGACTCAGGACCTCATGCTTACCAGGCAGGTGGCTGTGCTGCTGAGCTAAATCCCCAGCCCTCTCCTTTTACTTTTTATGTTTTCTGTATTCTTTAAACCTTTAACAATGTGAACAAGATGTACACAATTTTTAAGTGTAGTAATCCTCTCAAAGTCTCATAACTAATTGGTCATTCAGGTTCAAACTAGGATAGTTAGAAGCCCAGTGTCTTGATGCTGTGTGCTTGCTTTGAGTTGAAATGGATCCCAGACACTGGAGTTTTACTTGCCCAGTTAGGGTGCAGTGTTAGGGATGCTGACTTGTGGGCAAGTGTGGGGGTTATATTCTGCTGCTTTGTGGACTTGTGGATAAAAGAAAGTAGAAAATGGAGTGTGTGACTTGGTTTGTTCTCTTTCAGGCACTGCATTGATCTCTTCTTAGATTTCATTACTCTCTTCAGAAAACTCATGATGATCCTGGCAATGAATGAGAAGGTTAGTCAGCCTGTAGCCCACAGCTGAGAGAATGGCTCCTTGCCTCAGCATCAGTGTACAATTCAAATTTAAAACTTAGGGTAAGGCAGCCCACTTTTCAAGAGTCAAACCAGAAGTACCTGGTGGAGAAAAAGCCACAGGTAAAAATCCAGCACTTGGGAGACTGAGGTAGGGGGTTCACTGAGTTCAGGGCCAACCTGGGCTATATAGTGAATTCAAGGCCTACTTGAACTACACAGTGAGAACCTATCTCTAAAACAAAAAATTGGCCAGGGATGCAGCTCAGTGGTGTTGCACCTGCCTGGCAAGCACAAGGTCCTGAGTTCAATCCCTGGTATACAAAAAAAAATTAAAAATAAAACAAAACAAAAAAAAAATCCTTTTATATTTTTTTTCTTCTTGACTAATCCCTGAGTTAGTATCAAAGGGAAAAGAGCTTCAGTGGCAGTAAGAAACAATCTACTGTATGAAGAATTAAAAGTCTATAAGAAGATAGACCTCAGATAACTGTAAACCAGATGTGATGGTGTATGCCTGTAATCCCCACATTCTGGGAGGCTGAAGCAGGAGGATCCCAAGTCAAGCTAGCATGGGCAGTTTAGCAAGACTGTTTCAAAAAATTCAAAAGGGGGCCTGGGCCCTGGCTTTAATCTTCCATAGTGCAAAGAAATAAAAAATACTGAAGATGTCATATAATACTGACAAGCCAACTTTTAAAGATGCCCCATTCCCACACTCCGTTTTGAACCCAGGATGTTGTGCATGCTAGGGAATTGCTCTGCCACTGAGCTGCATCCCCACCCTTTTTATTTTAAGACAGGGTGTCCTAAATTGCCCAGCCTGGCCTTGAACTTGTAAGCCTCCCAGGTTGTTCGGATTATAGGCATATGCCACTGTATGCAGGAGAAGTAGAACAATTGTACTCATTTGTTAGTCTCAATTTTTCCCCAAACATTCTAGGGGTTGGGAATTTAGCTAGGGGTAGAACACTTGTCTGGCAAGTGTGAGGCCCTGAGTTCAGTTCTCAGCACCAAAAGAATAGAAAGGCAAAACAAACAAACAAACAAATAAAAGGAGGCAACAAAGAAACATTCTAGGGCCAGGGTTCCAGGTTCAATCCCCCATACCCCCCCAATTCTATATCAAACAGCCTAGGAGTGGGGGAAGAATGGAGCCATGAGGTTTTCTTTACAGGATTTATTCTGGGACTTGAGGCAGCACAGTGATGGTAGAGGCAGCTGACCAGATAGGATGGGTGCTTCTGTCTGGACTGGGCTGTAGTTGGGCTGAGCACCAAGCAGGTGCCCTAGTTTCCACCAGAGCAGCACAGCTACTTCCGCTTAAGACTGACACATTCCCTGGACTATATTGTTTCTATTTATTTATTTTGCTACCGGGAATCAAACTTGGGACCTTGCGCTTGAGAGGCAGGCTGCGGAACCATTGAGCTAAATCCCTGGCTCTAGATTGTTTCTTAATGCCAGTTTATGGTTTATGCTGAGGATTCGTCTTCCCCCTTGGGTGTGGAGCACTTCCCGGTTGGTGGCCATGGCCTTAGTTTAGCTATGACAGTCTTCTAGGAGCTGAGCTGTGGTGGTTGTGAGTGGCCGAAGGTGGTCAGGTGGCCAGCAGGTCCTCCCGATGTGAGGCTGGGACAACTGCTTAAGCACCTTTGGGGAAGGGCCACCCATGGAAGCTGGTTGAGGTTCAGTTCTTGCTGAGCTAAGGGAACATTTCTTGTTGATGTCCAGGTTCCCTCTGGGCCCTAACCGAGGGATCATTTAGGAGTCTGAAGTTACATATCCTGCAAGAAAATAATTGGGTGATTTTTCTTCATTTGCAGGACAAGAAGAAAGAGAAGAAGTGAGATGACCATCCAGCCTTTCTCAGTTTGGCTTCTCTCCCCCACCTCTCATTTCCTCTTTGCACACATTACAGGTGGCGTGTTCTATGATAATGAAAGGCATCAGAAAAGCTTTTGTACTTTGTGGTTTTCTCTATTTTGAATTTTTTGATCAAAAAACTGATTAGCAGAATATAGTTTGGAGTTTGGCTTCGTATTCCTGGGGTTCTTCCTCACTCCCTTCTGTCAGCCCATCATTAGTTCTTGCTCTGCTCCGGCAGCCGGCCCACCTCAGTGAGGAGCGGGGCCAGCAGAGAGAGCAAACTCCAGGAGTCCACGTTCCTGCCGAGCCTCACCCTGTAGACCCCAGATTGCTTGGTAGAGCCACCTTGGCCCACCCTTCCTCAACACTGTTTGGTTTGCACACAGTTCCGGTGGGACTGTGTGCAGTGTGTTTTCTGCTGGGAAGAGTTTCACTGGCCCTCTGGTTAACTCAGGCTCATATTTGAGCTATCAGCCCTACAAAGAAAGCAAAGAACCCCTTCGATGGGTGCTGTGCTTCCTCTGAGCTTCCCAAGCTTGTCAGGCATATGTCTTCTGCCTTGCCATCACTAAGGGAATGTAGGCTTCTGTGCATTCTCTTTTCCACCCCTGCCTGACCCTCAGGGAAATCTGCCTGCTTTCCATCCGCAGGGTGGGAGGATTTCAGCAGAAAGGGAAGACTTAGGTCTCATCAGGCATTTATGAAAAGGCTGAGTATGTATGGCAAGATAAGACAGCACAGAATTCTCAATGACCCTTTTTGTATTTTTGTTGTTGTTTTTAAAATTGGTTGTTAGCTTAATTACTGAGTGGCCTCCACCAGGTGGCTGTGACTGAAGGTCCCAAGAGAGGAAGGATAAGGAAAGGGAATGGTTGAGTCTTTGAATCCTGCCAGACAGAGCTAAAGACTTTGGGGGGCAGTAGAGGACAGATCCTCTCAACTGAGTGGGTCTTAGCACAGATAAGAAAAGCAGTGCTGTGGTGATTTGGGCGGCAGCATCATAAGAGCCCTTCAGTGCACCCTGGACACCTAGGGAGTGTCAGGCCAGAGGTTCAGGGCAGTAGATAAATGTTCATTTTATACATGCACTTTAATTTCTGGTCTGCTCACCTGTTTCCATAAATCTGCAGGTAGGAGCCAGGTTACCAAACTTGGAAGGGCTTTGTGGTTATAGGTGTGGCTGACAGGTCCTAATGGTAGATCACCAGATCCTTTCCTATGGGCTGCCACAGTCAGTTTAGAAGGGTAGCATCAGAAGAGGTCATAGCCCTGGCTACTCATGGGTTTTAATGCAAGGGGGCCAAGCCATTGAAAGAAAGTACATTATCAGCAGGATGCTATTTCTGGCTCTCCCTGTTCACAACCAGTGCACAGTTTGACACAGCGGCTGCTGGTTGTTCGTGTGTTGCTAAGCCATCCCATGAAACTTCCTGGAGTGGCATGCCACCCAGAATGGCTCCCTTCCACTGAGGATGCTGCTCTTACCTGCTGCCTCTAGCCTGTGGCTTGAGACCTTACTAACAGGACTTCCTCGTAAGCCCACATTAGCAACTTCCCATAAATTTGGTGATTCTCTGTCAGTCTTGAGAATCTGAAATCCACCTCTTGAAGCCAAACTCCACCTCTTGTGCTTTTTTGCTTGGAATAATGGAGTTTTTCTTTAGAAACAGTGCCAAGAATGACAACATATGAAGAAAGTAATTTAAAAGTAAATGCCTAACAGGTTTTTAATACAAGTATCACTGTAATTTTCACTTTCTTTTCTAGTTCCTTGGTTTCAGCTCAGGCTGCATTCTCTAACTCATACTGTGAAGACAAAGGTGTTTTTGATTCAAAAATATATATCTACATAGTCTTAATTTGTAAAAAATAAAGAAAATTCCTTAACCTTTCCTGATGTTTGTGTGTGGTGTATCAGGGACACAGCTGGACATGGGGCTTTCCAGTGGACTACTGGTGGGACTGGAGTCTGCCAGTTCTACAGGTTAGACTGAAACAAGGGCCCCGCTCTGAGCCGCAGTGCGCTGCAATGTTGGGCTTGTCCTCTGTTCTACACGGCCTGAGCCTTCTTGCAGCCTCCCCACCTTCACTGTAGGGCAGTGATGGTGACCCTTTTAGATGACAGCCTCCTGCGGCACACACACCATAGGTTTGCCACCACTCTGGGTTGTCTCAGAGTGGCAGATGCAGGTGGTTCGGATGTGTAATCGTAGTTTGGAATTTGGGGATGCTCACGGAAGAAAGGCAGATCATATCCACTCATTCTGCAAGTGTTTTTCAGCTCTGGCCAGGCTCTATGTAGGTGCAGCAGTGAATTAAAAATCATCGTCCTTGTAGAGTTTACATATGAGATCATAGGTCAGAGTTTGCACTGCTGTCAGGTGATTGAGCTCTGGCACATTAGCCTGCCAGTTGCCATGATCGTTATAGACAAAGACCTTCCTGTTGGGGGATTTTTTCGTCTGACTGGTTTATCTGGGTTTCTCCAAGTTGACCTGCTCAAACTCTGCATATCCCTGTGCCAACCAAGGAGAGCTGTTTCCCCCTTAACTTGGAAAGTATAACCACTGTTTTTTTTTTGTTTTTTGTTTTTTGTTTTTTTTGTACCAGAGATTGAACTTGGGACCTTGTGCTTGCAAGGCAAGTGGCAGAACCACATCCCCAGCCCTTAGCTGTTTTTTTTTTGGCTTTTTGAGACAGAGTCTCACTGTGTAGTTGAGACTGACCTGGAACTTACTGTGTAGCCCAGGCTGATCTCAAACTCACAGCAATCCTCCTGCCTCAGCCTCCCAAGTGCTGGGCTTACAGGCGTGCGCCACCACGCCCTGCAGCCCTTACCTGTTTTTTGTTGACTTTGAGGGAAGGCCTGTGTTAAAACTTTAAAGCCCAATTTTATCCTCAATCTGGGGGCAGGCACAAGAGGTTTTGAGTGCGTGCTTACAACATCACACTGCATAGTGCAACTGGCTTTGTTTAGTAGTCCCAGTAACCTAAGAAGTTACTGTCCTAGAACCTAAGATTTACTACATAAGACCAGTTCCTTCAAAGTCACCATGGGAAGCAGCAGCACATCTCCATCCAGGAAGAGTCCAAGCACACAGTCTCCAGGACCCTGCACCTCACTGCCTAGGTGGGTGACACTGGTGCATCCTGAAGTGTTATCCTTCCATCTTGGCCCATATAGGGGCTATGGCTGTAACCGCCCTGGGGATGAAAAACAAGGTTTGAGCAAAATCTCCCCACCCCAGATCCTCATAATCGAGTGCAGGAGAGTGAGTGCTCGCCCCTCACCAATTACCTGCTGAAGAGGGTAACAGCAGCCTTACCCTACTCCACAGTGGGAGGAGCCTGTACGTTCTCCCGCCTAACTGATGGTGGGGTTACACCCCAAGTGGGGAGAAGATGGTAGAGAAAGTTCCTGCTTTTAGGTACACCTGAGCAGGGGGAAAGAACAGGCTGAGATGACAGCAGAGGGTGCATCCTGGCCTAGTGGGTCACGAAACGTTCTCTGGAGATGATGCCTGAGTGAAGATAAAGTTAGGTCTAAGTGAGACAAGATTAGGAAAGGCAGTGGGAGGGAGGTTTCTGGCTGAGGGATTAGCTTGAAGGAAGGAGCGTGGGGGACACAGAAATTTGCAAATACTGTTTTGTTGGGATGAGACCAATAGGAAATGGGAGCAAGAGGTCGGTGAACAGCTACTGAGGGCTGCGGTACTAGATTTGGGTTGTACGCAATGGTGACTGCAGAACAGGGAAGGGGCCAGGAGAAAGGCAATTATATGACAATGACCAGACTACACTGTCACATGCTACTAAAAGGAACCTGAAGGCGGGGGATGTGGCTCAGTGGTTCCACCACCTGCCTCACAAGTGCAAGGGCCCGAGTTGAATTCCCAGTACCAAAAAACAACAAACAAACCAGAGTGCCTTGGAGAAATAGTGCTGAGAGTCTGACAGGAAATGTATAAAATCAGCCTGGAACATAGTAATTGCCAGAAAGCAAAGAAACTGTCAGCAACTTGGGATGGTTGGAGGTTGACCCTGGCTAAAGATGGGACAATGTGAGCCATCAATAACAATTATAGCTGCAACAAATTGGAATCAAATGTTTTAAAATCTGATTATATTTTTACAGGATCTAATTGGTCACCTTTGGAGAATGCTAGAAACTGGCCATCCCTAAATATTTGCTAATATAGAGAAAGAAACATTTGCCCTTTCTTTTCTGTGCTACTTCAGGATAATAAGTGTGGTAATAAAAAAAATGAATGGAAGAATTAGAGGGTTGATTTATCACTGTTTTATAGACCTCTGATGAAATAATGAAACTAGGTGATGGTAATCAGTGGCTACTAATGCCATATTGTAATTGAGAGGGTAAAATGGATCTTTAAAAACTAGGACTTTAAAAAAAGATAATCTGTTTCTGTAAGCTTTCTGCTGCTTCTCCTCAGCTCATGATGCCTTATCAGTGTGAAAGGGATGTGCAGATCCCGGGCCCTGGAGGTCAAAGTTCTGTTTTGATAAGGGCGGAAGGGAACCGATAATGACCAAAGATGAAACAAATAACTTGTCCTTGTCTACTGTCTCCGTAGATTCCTTTCCTTTCTTACTTTCAGTAAAAGATCTTGCATACCTGACCAAGGTGAGAGGGACATTTGTAACAATAGCCCACCTTCTTCAGAACTGACTTTGAATAAATCTTTCCCTTTCCATCAGTCTGTCTCTTTCTGGGCATGTGGAATTGCCTGCCCGAAATTAGAGAGTATTTCTGTGTGTTTGAGGCCAGCCTGAGCTACGTGGTGAGTCCAAGTTCAGCCTGAACTGCTGTACATAGTGAGACCCTTTCTCAAAAAAAAGAAGCTGGGCACTGTGGCACACATACCTGTAACCCTCAAGAGGTAGAGGCAGAAGGGTCTTGACGCATTCAAGGCCAGCCTGACCTAATAGTGAGACCTTGTCTCATAAAACAAAAAAATAGGCCGGGGATTTAGTTCAGTGGTTCGTTCTACCGCCTGCCTTGCAAACACAAGGACCTGAGTTTGTCCCGGTACCAAAAAAAAGAAAGAAAGAAAAAAAAAAAGTGATGTAATGCAAATGTCGGTTTGCATTCCATGCATATTTGCTTTAAAACAGTCATGTTGTATACAGTAAATGCAAGTTCAACATAACAAGACAATTCCTAGGCCAACCCTGCTGGAGCTGCAGTAGGTGGAGGATGTGGCTGTGGCAGAAGCACTTGGTGCGGCTAGCACCGCCTCTGTGTGCTGAGAGGAGACAGAGCCCTGAAGCAGAGATCTGGATCAAAGAATTCAAGGCCCCTGCAGGCCAACTGTAACCAGCTAAACAGTTCTCCCCTGGGACATTGCAAGTGCTGAGGATGTATCCACTTCCCAATGTGTCTGTGCAACAAGACTGGCAGGAGAAGGATCTTGTCTTCATTCTGGAAATGTTCGTATCCAGATAAACTCCGTACCTAAAGTATGTGTTAAAAATTCAAGCTCCAGAAATACAGGGTCAGGTGTCCACAGCCACACTCACAGATGTGTGCACAGTCATTTCTGGAGTAGTTCCCATAGTGCACCTTGGCAGCCTTGGGAGTCTGGAGGACACTGAAGTAGCTCCTTCTCAGAACTCCACTGAGTTCAACTGGTTGCAAGTGTGTGTGTGTGTGTGTGTGTGTGTGTGTGTGTGTGTGTGTGTGAGACAGGGTCTCACTATGTAGTTGAGACTGCCCTGGAACTCACTATGTAGCCCAGGATGGTCTCGAACTCACAGTGATCTTCCTGCCTCAGCCTTCCAAGTGCTGGCATTACAGGCGTGCACCACCATGCCCGGCTTCATATGTTTTTATTCTTGGTGTCAAATGTGTTATGAGGCATACAGGGATTTCTCTTGGAACTGGGTGGCTAAAAATGTTTATGCATGCAAATAAAAGCATTGTAAATCAGGTTTTTCTAAAAGTCCTCAAAGATTCAGTGTGTTGGATTACTGGTATTCTAGCTAGATCTTCTGTTCTTTTATACTATAGCTTTCATGTTCAGTCACTTTATCACATTTTAATTTTCTTGAATCCTACACTGGATCATTTGAGCTTCTGGGAAGTACTTTTTGGATTATTGGAATTATAGGCTTCATTCTAAAATTCCTCTTCATGGGCTTAAAACGCCCTATTTTATTGGTGCCTTCTTTCATTGTGCCTTTTAAATGCTTTTAGAAGGATTATGTTGTATTACCAAACCTTTGTTCCCATACCAGTTTGGTTTTATTACCGTATGAGCTATGACGAGCGGAGTAATGTAACTAGATGGAGTCTTGGGATGTTGATGGTTTTACTCTACCTCATACTAAAATTTTTGGATTCTTTCTGACATTTGACAACTTTCAGATAGGTTTTATGTGTTATTTTTTACATGACCAAGTTATGGAGTAGCTGCCAGCAAGAGACAATGTTTGGATGTGGGTGACATTTGTTCAATATTGCTAGGTAAAAGAGCCGAAAAACCAGGACCAGACCAGGACTACAACAAGCCTTTATTATGGGGAGGATCTGTCGGGCTGCCTCTGAACAAAGGAGAGAAAAGCAACATGGC